AGCACAATTGATAATGAAGAATACACATAAAGTAGGAATTTTCGAGAAATTTACCTGGCTCGGTGGCAAGATCCCACACTTCCTTGACAGATTGGATATCACGTTCTTGAGGGGCATGCAGCACAATGGCAGTGGACCCCACAACACACAAAGCACAGCCGAGAATACCAAAAATGTGCAGTCTCTCTTGCAAGATGATGTGTGCGAGTATTGCACTGAAATTTACTCTCATCAATCAGAATAGCAGTAGCTGTATTATTTTTACAATTATTATTATGATTATTATTATTATGAGGAAAAGGTGTTGGGAGCAAACATGGCATCGTGCCTGATAATGATGCTGAGGGCGCCAAGAGGGGTAACAACAATGGCTGGAGCAAATGCATACGCTGCGAAATTCGCTATTTCTCCTACAATCACTGTCACATGCACCAAATAAAAAAAAAAAATCAATATATGAAGAATTTGTAATGATATTTCGAATAGTGTTGCTATCCAGAAATCGTACTATAAATCTTTACATTTTCCAGTCAGCCTTTACTATTTCCTGTAAAAGAAAATCTGATAGAAGCAGCAGTTCGTGGAGCAAAATAAAGAAAACACAGACGGTAGTGACGCTGTGGAAGAGATAAAATAGTGTGATGTTTTTTTAGGCTCTCACGCTCTAACTCTCTTGGGTATTTCCGAATACACTATCTGCAATTATTATACACACCATGTTGGTCATAGTCATACCAAAAATATAAATTACTAATTGTCCATTCTTCAAACCAGACCTTACCCATAGATATTGAGAATGTGCCAATTGAGTAAGAAAAACTACTCCACAGAACAAATCAGAGGGAAGATTCTGATTCTTAGCTTCTAATAGCTAACAAGAACCAAGCTTTTGCTGGAGAGAAGCAGATTAGCTTCTTTTTTGGGTATACAATGTACTATGGAGGTTGGTATGGGAAGACATACTTATCATAACATTAGTTCTATTTAATATGGAGATGGAAATACAGATAAATAACTTACTTGTTATCATGCCTATCCACCATAGTGGCTCATACAGATATGAATATCCTCCAACTCCTGTAGGAAAATAATAATATTAATAAATAACAATAACTAGTGTCCTGATTTTAATAGAAAACCTGACTTATNAAAAAAAAAAAAAAAATGGAACTAAGGGACCAATTGGGCGAATATGACATATAAATACGTACGAGATATGCAAGGAATGGCAAAATAAATAAAAGTTTACTATGCAGCATGCCTTCAACCTTTAACTGTAAAACAAAACTATTTAAGTTACACCATAGAGTGTAGAGCTGCTTGTGCTAAACTTACAACACTTAGGCAGTTTTTTTCTAGGAAAATTATAAACGTGCCTCCAAGAATCTTTGATTCAGATTGTACTGTAATGGCCAATTAACATTTAACTTTAGACAAACATGTTCGGAAATAAGGAACATAAAATTATTATGTAAAATGATCAGGAGTTTTAAATTTTCTATATCAGCAGACAAAAAGCCATAAATAAAAGATCTAAAGCCATAAATTGCCATAAAATTTATTTGCACTGAAACTAATCTTTTTTTTCTTTTTGAGTTGCTTCTATATGCCCAAGGGGCATTGCTCAAACTAACTCCATGACCATATGACTGATAACAAGATTAAATCCAGATTACAGTCATGTACTTTATTAATTTTCAAGAATTTACTCGTCCTAACTAACATCTGAAACACAGAATATAGAGAGAGGCAATAGAAAGTTTAAAGAACAAAACAACGTAAAGAGCACTTACTATAGTTTGGATTTAAAATTTTCTGCATCAAACAAAGGAAGGTTCATATAATTATTAATTATTTTTCTTCTTATATTATTTATCAAAGTGACAGCTCAAAAAATTTGCCTCAGCGATCAACAACAGTAATCTGATCCTCATATCAGATTACAACAGGAAAGTTGTAACCAACATGTTCATGATCCAGCTTTTGATCCTCACATCATATTACAACAGGGAAATTAGTAGTCTAAGGACCAACATGTTCAAGATCCAGCTTTTGATCCTCACCGCAAACCAAATTTGCTAAACCAATGTCAAAGTAGATACTGTACAAAATTAAGAAAAAAGCAGGTACTAAATTTGCACAGTAATCCCGAACGCGTAGAGTGCCCACAAAAATCACAACGTATTTTCAGAAACCAAATTAAGAAAAATGCAGGTACTGAAGAGCTAAAAGTTGAAGATTTTACCAGCCCTGACGCCAGAAGCACCAGCTTTCTTCAATCCCTTTTTCTTGACGATGAAGCTTGCGCCAATGAAGACGCTGGATGATAAGGCCAAACCCAAACCCTTTATATTATCGGACGACATTCCCTTGTAAGCATTCGATGTCGTAGCAGCTAATTCACCCACTCCTATCGACGCCATTCTCACAGCTACACCGCCCGAAAAAACCAAAAGATATATTCAGAAGAAAACAGATATTCGAACAATCACACTCCCATTTGCAGCTCCAGGCTGTGGCGAAGGATCTTGAAAAAGGAAAAAGATAGTCAAGTGCAATGGGATTTTTGTGGATACTGATTTCAGCAGAAAAGATCTGTAATTTGTCGGCGGTGAAAGGATTTATGGGCCTAAAATGGATAAATGGTTGGTTGGCAATGGCGAAATAACAGCTGGGGAGTGGGGATCGTACGGAAACACAAAATGAAAATGGGAAACAGAATAACTGGATAAAACGGGGTCTTTAGGTAGAAAATTCGTTTCAATATTGGAACTGAATCGCTAAATACCGCCCCCATTTTACTATTTACCGCCCTCAAAAGTCTATTTTGCCCTTTATTCTTTTTTTTAAAAAAAAACAAGATGTCCCCTCTTCAGAAGCACTTATCGGTCGAACCGAGCCCCGAAAAATTCCGAAAACACCTCCGAATAATTTCGGCAAAAACATGCTTTCCAACAAGACCACTATTGCGGCGGTCGGCCGGTCAAACCGACCGGACTGGAGTCTGCCGACCGCGATCGCGGCCAATCTTGGATCGGCCGGCCGGACTTTTTCAACTGGGCCTATCCAGACCATACCTGGTTGAAAAGTCTGACCAGCCGGACCTTGACCGGCTGCAGTCGCCTGTCGGCCGGCGCAAGTCC